GTATATTATTTTTGCATTTTAAAAAAGTATGGCCATCTTATCCGAGTTTACCCTATAGAATTTTGCAACCGAGAAGTAGATCGATATTCCGCAGTAATTTATTAATCTTCCATTTATGCTATTTATATATCCTTTATATATATATATATATATATATATATATTTTTTTTCAAATGTGTTATTTATATCTTACATTCAAAAAAGAAACTCTAAGGTGGTATTTCTTACAACTCTATATTCTAAGCGAACTTTTGCTGAAAAAGTATTTTTTTTTTATTAGAATGTACTATCAATTGGAAACCTACTAGATATCATTCCAACCTTTTTTCTTTTTTTAATTAAGAGAAATATCTTTATTTAAAGCAAAATGTCTTCTTATTAAGAGAAATTTCTACTAAGAACAAGATTTTTAAATAATATAAATAGGAATATTTGCCCGATGTGAATATTAATAACATATTTATACTAATATATATATATATATATATATATATATATATATATATATATACACATTTTTAAAATTCCTTTTACAAATGAGAAAATATATATTTCCCTAAAACACCGTTACTTTTCTCACAAGAAAGTCATTTTTTATTACATTTAAACAACAGAATTTAGATTTAAATATATTATTTAGATTTAAATATATTATTAATGTCTATCAAATATTTTTTATTTCTTAGATATTTCTTGCTATATTTCTAGCAAAACATAGTAAAATTCCAGTGAAATTTGCTATGTTCCTTAGTCAGATGGACTTTATTGACAGTCTATTTCTGCACCATTGGAAACATATATGAAAATTGGAAAGAATTTATATAAAAAAAAGGAACTATAAAGTATTCCCTTTGTATGCTGAAAACCTTAAGCTTCCCTTTTAGTATTTATTTCATCACTCATTGAATATTACTGCTTTCTAAGACATTACTTAAGTAAATAAAAGTTATTCCCTACTTTAATTGTGTATCATTGGTTATCGCTATCACCCTAAACTTAAAAAGCTTCCAATATAAATAAAAGTTTCTCTCATCTCATGGTGTCTTTCTAAAGGTATTTTCCTAAGATGTCTTTCTAAAGATATTTAAGATATCTTTCTTAACAAATTATCGATTTTTTTGGATTTTTTAATCGTAATGAAAATCGTAATAAAACCGCTAAAACTGCGCTTGAACTTATTTGAATCGGATGAAATATGAACAATGAATATTCAGACATGTGACCGGCATTGTGACATACTGCCGCGTTTCATTAAGTCATATAATAAATTACGTGCGAAAAATTGTTTGTACGGATAACATAGAGTCAATGAAACGAGATAAGTGATACGCGAGATAAATGATGCATTGATTTGCGATGATTTCATCGTTTAATTATCGTATCTTTAGCGATTCGATCATCAGTCGAACTTTCGTACACGATCAATGGAGATTATCAACGCGGCAGTCGTTAAATGGCTCTCCCGATTTTCTTTACCAGCGGGACGAGCATAGGCCGTGTCGAAGGTAACCGATAACGTGGCGAACACAGTAGTGAATGATAGTATCGCGGAGCGTTGACCGAGCGTTACACGAGGATCAAATCGCGACGCGAGTAATCGCGACACTGGGTCGTCTCACGTACGTTGGCGATGGAGTTGATGTGCTTGTTGCCGGTGGTGGCGGTCGACGTGGCCGGCGGCGGGGGCATGGGTGACTGCACGGGCAGCCCTCTGAGTTGCTCGAGAAACGGCAGGAACATCAACGACTGCGGCCCCGACATGCTCAGCTGACTCTTTGTCATCTGAGCCTGCAGCTCCTGGATGTTGTGCTGCATGATGTGCTCTTGCTGCCGCTTCAAGTGCTCCGTTTGCAGCCGCTGCATCTCGATTTGCTTCTGCGAGTCGACCGTCATGTGAGCGGGATACGACTGTAAAGGCACACGGACCACTAATTAAAGGGATGCGCTGCGCTCCGTGGCTCACCGAGAGGCCGAGGTATAGTAACGAAGCTACCTATGGACACCACTGCGTGGGTGTCGGACAATCCCCGTGACTTTTCGGTCTTCGACTGGAAATTTTTATCGGAAAAATTTTCACCTGATATTATACAAAGAGCCAATTGAGTAAATGTAAGGTGATCTCCTAATTGCTAATTGCGGTATATCTACACTGACTTGTGAGAGAGAAAAATAGTTGGAATAATTATAATCTCACTATATTTTATAGTTCATTTTGGCCTCAAACATATATTTATAGTTCATTTAAACATGAAGATATAGCAGAATGAACACAGATTTATAGTCACCATTTTATTACTCTATGTGTATAGTAAAGCACACTTTGAGAATATAGCTACATGTATCTATATTTGCCAAATATTCCAATTGTATTGACTATATAAAATAGTTAATTTCTCTTACCATTCAATATTTGCTACTTTACTATATTTTTTATTTCAAATAATTATAATTCTTGGTAAAAGTTTTACATGGGTCAATTATACTATGCTTATATTGTAAATATTACAAACATTATAGTGACATTTACTATAAAAATGATATTCTTAACTATAATCTTTTTACTATGTCATTATAGTTCCAAATATCATACATTTTTCTCTCAGTATAATAAGGATACGGTGAGGATTGAATAAGAGAGGTTTTTGTTATGGTGATTGGATTCTATTATATAGGTCCACATTAGGATCCTAATATATTAATTTAGGGTATTATTTTACATAGAATATTTGCATAGGAGTACTTTTTGCGGTATACGATAAAGCAAAAATAAATTAGAATAATAAAATGTCAAATTTTTTAAATTATTAGATAAAACAATTCTTTTTGCTTCTCATATAAAATAATACTTTTCTCTGTACAAAGAAAAAGATTTCATTAGATTTAATATTCTTATTTATTTGACTTTAATTTTTTTCACTAAAACACAACATATTTTAATATAAAATATTATTTTTCTTAATAGAGAAAATGTTTGAATAAAAACTACGTTATTTCATTGAAGAAAAAAATGTTAATTGAAAACAAAATTCTACTATTTAAAACAACATTTTTCAAAGATTCTTTTAAATTTATCAATCCAATTTCTTCAACTTGGATTTCCTTGAATCTATTTTAAACTAAATATTTGGTTAAAAATCCAAAAACAATCATGAAGTCACTGGTTTTCTGATATTGAATATTGCTGTTGTTGCGCTGTTTTTAGTGTCTGTCAATAAATATGTCCTTACAATATTTCGTGAAAACTTTAAGAATATAAAGTTGAGTTACAAAAACATTGTCAGGAATGTTATCTATAATGCGGTCGTAGTCACGTTTTTAAGTTATAGCATTAGTTTGTGAATCGATCATGTATCTATTTCCTTCGCGTTTCATGAAAAATGAAAAACTATTAAATTCGCAAATGAAAATTTTCATTTTCTACGACTTTACGCGAAGGAAATAGATACATGATCGATTCACAGACTAACGCTACGACTTCAAAACGTAACAGCGACTGCATTGTAGACGATCCCTTAAGCTTGATCTACAATGTGTTCTTTGCTTCGTGTTTCTTTATCTCTTTTTAGCTAAAAACTTAAGCCTTAAGCCAGAAAAAGACAAAGTACAAGAAAGAGGAAATAAAGAGCATTTAGATTAAAGAACATTTAGATTAAAGAACATTTTAGATTAAGCTTTAGACGGAATTCACACTTTGGCAGAGAAGCAGAAAGTAAAAAGGCAGAAGCCAATCAGAACTCGCGCTAGTAGTCAGGTCAGGTGGTAGTCGACAGTTTCTGCTTTGCTACCAGCGTGAGTTCTGATTGGTTTTTGGCTTTTCGTTTCCTGCTTTTCTGCCAAGGTTCTCTCTTAGAGTCATTGGGGTGAATGCCTGCCATTCGATCTTCGAAGTCAAACGACTAGCGTTGCTGGCAACCAAGCCGCTGCTCGGAATTGAACTACGGAAGAATAAACGTATAAAATATGATAATTCTCAGTTTTATTTTTTTTTTTTACCAAACATTAGCTCTTTTGAATCATTCATTCAAAATAATATTTGTTTAAATTCAACGAAACGTATTAAGTCTAAAGAAATACTTTTTCTTGCATGTATAAAGACCAGAATTTGACGAGGTCCTGACTATTGCACAACGTTACATAACTTTTTACACTGAGAAAAATTATCCGATGAAAAATTAACAAACAGAAATGTCCGATCAAATTCCGATTAATTTTTATATCCAACCAAGATGTCTGATTAAATTTTATTGGATACTTGCGATCATAATGACATTTCATTAAATAAAAAAATTATAAACTGATATTTCTCATCGGATGTTTCTTGGTCAAACATAAAAAAATTCAGCGGAAATATCTCTCAGTGTAGAACTCGATAATATTACCTTATACGGACCTGGTAACTCATTCTGGTAATTGAGAGCAACCTAATGCTGATCAGTGTTATTGGATTAATTTCTAGTCGAGTCGCCGCGCGGATGAAATGCACAGACGGCGCACAACTCGAGACAATGTGAGCGTGGCGAATTGTGCGATGTGATTGTCACTTTATGCCGTTTACGACTTGACGCGCTGTAAAGACCATTTCGGGAGACTCATGCGTCTCATTCCCCGTGTGCCTTGAGACACTCGCGAATCCAACGTGACTTCTTTTTGGACTTCTTTTCAGCGCGTGACATTACAATGAGATAGACCGACGGAAACCGTTACCGGCGCCCGACTGCTCGATGCATCCGAGGGCTATTCTAAGCGAGGGTCTCGTTGTTTTATACCTTGCTCGGGATGTAACGCACAAAAGCGACGCACATCGTATAAACGTTTTCCCGGAAAATATCATTTGCTTTTTGTTGATGCTACGATGGGAGTTTGGGACGAATAACATGATTGTAATCGCAGCTCTTTGGTCCACATTAATGGTTACTATTTGAAACCCGTCTCAAATGAAATACTTAAATTTGAATTCAGACTTAGATGACAGTTTTCCAACTGAAAATCGTGTTTACAGATATAAGGTGAGATACAGTTCTAATTATAAGCCGGGTCCCAATTTCAGGTCAAACTTGGTTTATGTATTAAAAAAGTAAAAATGTATTATACATTGTAATGTATGTAATGTATTATACATTGTAATGTATGTAATGTATTATACATTATAATAAGAACACGGAAAACATTTTTTTTATTCCTTATTTCTTATACATTCACAAATACTCTCAATATTTAAGAAAATCTAGGATATAGAACATAAGATTACTCTAACAGAACTAATATTTACATAAAACTTTGGTTTATCAGCGATCGAAAAATATCAGGAAATAAAACAATAAAAATTATTTATAATTTTAACGAGATACTAGATAATTGTTTAGACAATCTTTATTAGATAATTTATTTTATCAATCTTTATTATTATATAATTTATTAAATACAGTTTCAAACGTCAATTAATAGTCAAGGTTACTGCTTATAACATAAGCAGTTTTGCCCTAGTAGTGTCTCATGTTTTGTGTATGTTTTCTAATTAAAAAATTATAATGCTAACGAGAGTCCAAGAAATCTTTGATACGTAATATATATTTTCTCATGTTTTTCGTCTCTCTCTCTCTCTCTCTCTCTCTCTCTCTCTCTCTCTGTCTTTCTCATATGACATCTTTTGCAATCATCAAATGACACATGTCTTTTAATTCATTCTTGTAATTTTATTACAAGTACAACTACAAAATCTATTCTATTATTTTAATAATACTATCATTACCATCAGAATAATCCGATGTGTTCTCATCGCAATGAAATTCTATGTTATTAACATATACCTCATTTGTCATTCGCTGACTTTCATTTCTAACCTTGATTGTCATCTCTGTGTGTTTTACACACAGAATTTAATATTGTTATAAACATCTTATATTTTATCTCCAATTTCTTTCTTCTTGCTCTTCTTCTTTTCCACATGTTCACTCATTGTTCCCGTAATTTTAAATTTCTCTCTAATAATATAAAGAAATATATTTCAAACTTATTTATGATATATATTATCATAGATGCACATTATAAAAATTAATTAATTACTGTTGCAATTTCGCGAAAGGATCGGTTCACATGTACAATAAATCGCTTCGACTACTGGATAAAACTCTATCAAGTTCTTGTCCAGTTGCCGCGCAGTGTTTTTACAATTAATGAGAATGTATTAACGATAGACAATACTAGGCGACATAACTAGGCAAATATCTATGCAACTCGTAACATTTCCATCAGAGTAGAAATCCCTAAGAGCTTAATTGCACGTCGGGTTAACAGGCCGATTGCGGCCAAGTGCATCGGCCGCGAATTTTTCGATAAATTTTACATTAATAGCGTCAAAGCGCTCCGGATTTAGACAGGGCGAGCGTTCACGAGAGAGCGAGCCACCATAGGAACGCAACAATTTACGCGGCGAATATCATTGTACTTTCCTACGTGTTGGCTGCGATCCAGATACGCGTGGAGTTTATTTTAGACGATAAGGAAGACGTTTATTCATCCAGCCTGTGCACCAGCTGAGACGTCACACGCGCGCGACGCTGGACGCATCCGCGTGTCGCCCTTCTCTTGGCTGCCGCGATTATTAATTCTCGGCGCTCGATGGTGGATCGCGGAAAGTGATTTACGATCGACACGGCCCTCGCGACTTTATCGCCAAGTCGTTGGAGCCGACACAGACGAGACTTAAATTATAAATGCGGCGGTAATGAAAACGGCAGGATAAGCCTGTATCGCCGGGTCGCGACACAAAAATCCGTGCAAAACATTGAGCGTTACACAAGCGCGGCCGATAAGCGTGTTCTTCCGATTCGATTAGTCGCTGGCTTCTTATTGGTCTTATTGGTCTCGGCGAATAATTAAAAATGTCGGCGCAAGAAGCGTGAATTGAC